AGCGTGTTTGTGCACATCTCAGTGTGGACATGGGAGGTGCTGCTTTGGCACCTGTGGAAGCTGATACGTGTTTGTGCTTTGTGCTGTGCACTTCAGTGTTGGAACACTAAGCTATGGCAGGCAGAGCAGGCTTCAGAGGACAAAATATTAATGGAGGAAGAAAAGGGGGAACACAGAGAGAGACAAAGTGATCTACGGTATCAGGGTAAAGAGGAAAAAGAGGGAGGACTAGAAAGACAGTGGTTGTAGCAGGCGTAAAGGGAGGAAAAAGAACAAGAACAAGTAACAGAAACAAAAATGAATATGAGGAGGAGAAAATTTACCACTTTTCTCTCCCTCCCCTGTCTTTCCCATCACCTCTTGATCCTCTGGTGCTTTGTCCACAAGAGGAAAAGAGTCAGGAAGATGGGTAGATAGAGAAGAAAAAGAAGAAAGGAGAAAAGAAATGACAGGGGAGAAAAAAAGCCAGAAGGAAACAGGTTTGGAGGAGAGCAGCAGGTTGGGAGTGGAAGGCTTTGTGGTAATTGGAGTGTTCTCAACATGGGCAGATGCAAGGTGAAGGGGAGATGGAGGAAGAGGAAGTGGGTGCAAAGGGGCAGGCAGAGGCTAGATTACTGAGGGATGACACGGGAGATTAGGACAGTGCCACAATGAAGTGACAGAAGGATAACATGAGAAGGATAACATGAAAAGGACCTAAACGTGGGGGAGCTGGGAGGTGGAACTGAGACCTAAAGCTCATCAGACAAACATTTGCCTACTGAATTTGGGCAGAGGGGGTGGGGCTGGAGGAATGCAGCTCAGAAACAAAGAGCCGGAGTAACCAAGAAAAACAGCTGAGACAACTCCTGGATGATGTCAGAAGGGAGAACGTAGGGAGCAATGATTTGCTCTGCCTTAGTAATAGATTAACACTTGTTAGTGAAGGATAACTCTGACAACACAATTAATAGATTCTGAAGTTTTGCCTCCAGAAGACATAAATCTTTGTGACCATTTCGCCCAATTACTTGTGTGAAAAATGTCTCTTGGTGATTTCCACTTTGAGCCCAGTGCTCGCTGAGATAGAACACTTCTCTCAGAGGGTTGTCTCAGAGATGGCCTCTGCCTCCCTGACTAAGGTCTGCAATGTCTTGAGTGGTTAAAAAGCCTGCTTTATTTCAACTGGGGTTATGGAGTTTATTTCAACTCGGGTTACGCTTACCTTGAAGGACCTGGAAGGTGACAGTCTCCAACTGCCATGAATTCAGAACAGAGCATTTTAAGATAAAATGTCAGTGTTCACAAGCAGCTGAATTGTCCAGGCAGCACAGGCACAGAAAAAAGCACTAGTCCCAACCAATAACCTCTGCAAGCTAAACTATTCCTTCATCACTCAGAGCCTGCAATGCAGCTTCATGTCCCAGCCTTTAGATCTTGTCCTTCATTTGTCTGCTCAATTAAAGCATCTCCCACTTTCAGAAATCTCCCGTCTGTGAGCTTTACCAAGTTCCCTCTTTACCTTAACTTAGCTAATGCACAAGCTATCTGAGATTGACTACAGAACTGTCAGTAAAATGGTGATACTGATACTTTCACTATCCCATTACAGTTTCCTTTGGCATCATTTTTATTAGCAGTAGGTGTCCCATGGCCAGGGAAGCACTGTGTGTGAATACCCAGATAGGAGTGAGCTGTAGCTAAGCTGATGGCTTCCTTAACAGGTGTCTGCTTGCAAAAGCAGTAAGTAGCAGAGTGGACATTAACACGCAATGCTGCTGAGATCCCAGCCATCTTCACAGCTATTTCAGCGCAGCTATAACAAGCAAATATACAGGTAACCCTGAGCAACAAAACAGTGAGAAGTGGCTCATCTCCCCACAGTGCTTCTAGACCAGCAATGGAAAAGGGAACACAAGCCCCTAGGTGCAAACTCACTTGCCTAGTGGCAGTTAGCAAACAGTCAACAGGGCTGGGAAGTGAACTCCCACGCTGGGTTCACCTGGCTTTTCAGCAGGTGGTCAGGGCATGAGTGGCTCACCATGGAAAAGGTGTTTGTCACAGCCTCACTGCATATGAACCCATTGCATTATCAAGGCCTACAGACAATTCAGATATAGCTCTCCAGCAGTGAACTACTTGGGTCTAGAGGGAAAAATCAGCCATTCATTCCAAAAGTCAGGATCTGTCATTAGGATTGCCAATAGCACTGGGGCGTGTGCCTTCAGCCAGAGTTACAGGGCACACAGGCAACCCTCCAAATGGGTCCCGATGTTTTTTTCACAGTCAACACCATGCAACTTTTACAATGTCAAGCTGCAGTGGTGAAGTGCATCCATGTGCTCGAAACCTTTATAGTGGGCAGATTTTGTGCATCCCTGCAAGCTGCTTGTCCTCTTTGCCTGAGCCACTTCACCTCAAGAAAGGAGGCCAGAGATTTTGCTCTGAGTCAGTATGTTCTTGGACAGTAAAAGCACAAGTGAAGGTACTAAATCAGCCTCTTCTTCCATACATGGAGGGCAAAGGAGGAGTGAAAGCCTGTCAGTATGTGCTTGCTGTTTGAGCCTGGCTTGTTGACACCTTCCTTGGCCAGTTCATATTAGATTCAATTAGGTACCTCCCCTAGCAGCAGTGATTCACAAACTTTTTGCTCCGCTTCCAGCTGGCTTCCTTCTCACTGAGGCAGTACCTCAGCTGGTCTCTCTGGACCCTCCATCTGGATGCCTGATCAGCCACTTGTCATGGCCCGGTTTGAACTTTGCCTTCCTCTTCAGCCTTTCACAAAGGCAGCATGCACTCCAGCAGCATCCTACCAGCAAGGCAGGTGTAGCACAATCCCTCCTGCCATTTGCTCACTGAATGATTGGTATTGCCTCCTAACTCAGCTGGCTTCCCCAGTCCCTTCCTCCTCAAAACAAAGCAGCTCTTTACCTCAAGTGTGGCAGAAAGGATCACCTTGCCAGCTGGCCTCCTACTGGGAGGGGAAATGCACTGATTACTCTTACCTCTGAAGACCTTTCAGTTTAACCCAGATATGCGTCTGAAGGTATGTTAACTTCTCACACCCAATTCCCTGGCGTGTCAGTTTCTTGGAAGAACGAGAAGTTTGGAAATGTCAAAACGTTTTAATTTGGGGTCAGTTTGTTTCCAAATTGCATCTGACTATGTTACCATATGTCATCTTTCTACAAGCACTGGACTTTAACAGGTGTGCATATGCCATGACTACAGCCAGCCACAGGCATCCTGTGATGCCACATGGCTGCGTAATTCTATTAGCCACAGTGCACCACGGCAGCATAAATTCAAGGAGGAAGTATGAGCTTCACTGGATAAGGTGAAGGAACTGCAAGGTAATGGACCTCAACTGTTAACATGATTTTAACAAACATTGCAACTTGGGAAAACCAGACACAAAGCAAAGTGGGTGTTGTGGGTTTTACTTTTTTCCCTTGGAAAATATTGGCAAAATGGAAATTTACAAGAAAAATCACTATGCTGAAACCCACATTTTAATCTTAAAATCATTCGTAAGGAGAATTTATATCTAACTTCAGCTTGGAGATGTGCCTCAAAGCCATGCCTTGCAGTCTCCACTTACAACCATGTTTAGTTTTCTGCTGCTTTTGAGAGTGCAGGATGACTCCCAGCCCCCCGAACACTCTTGTGGTTTGATTTTTTGTCATCTCTCTGCTCAAGGCTCCCCAACTCCAGTGAGCTGTGGAGTAGGGCTTCTGTTAGTAGTCCTCCAAGATGGCCTTTTCATCCCTCAAAACTTGCCATGGGCAACTTTGTCCACTTCAAGTATCTTCTCTATAAAGGCAACTCATTCCTTAGTCTCTTTCTTCCAGATAGACCTCTTCCCTTCTACCCATATTTTAACAACAACTTGTGTAGAAGACAAATCACTTTCTTATCCTGAACTGCAGCATTGCCTCTGTATTATGCAGTATGAAGGACGTCTTTTTTCTGTTTATGGCTTTTCTCTTCACTCCACACTTGCACAACAATGTAACTGCCTGGAAATCAGCAGCATTTCTGTTTTGATCAAATCATTCACCCAGTCAGTAAGACTAGTTCATGCTGGATTGAGCACACATAAAGGAGATTCACTGTCCGAGCTGCTTTCTGGGAGGCTCGATGGCACCAAGTACCCTGTGATGCCTTCCATTCCTCTTGCAGTGAAACAGGGCCTTCAGTTTCTCAGACCGTTTGCCTACAGATTCTTTTCAGGCGTTCCTGTTGCAAGGACATGCATACTGAATGCTTGAGGAGTGAACACTCATTAATCTCTACAGGATCATGATCTCCATTTTTTTTTTTAACTTCTGTGATTAAGAGTAACACTGTGTCCCAGTGAACTTGGCCTGTTAGGTACTTCTGTAACAGCACCCAATATTTTTCCTTTATTCTACTGCTCCATTTCCACACTAGCAGGATACTGGCACAGGAATCACTGCACACACACACACACACACACACAAAAGATAGAAAAATTGATGTTGTGAGCTGACTTGTCTGTCAGGAAAGGATTTAACATGCTTAGTTGTTCCTCTCAGATGGCAATAATGAATCTCCTTGCCTGAGATTTATTCACTCAGAATACTGTCAAGCAATTCTATCACATGATGCTGTTTATTTCAATGTTTGGATGGTTTCTGGTAGAGGTGTTAAAACCATATAGCATCCATTTCTCCTGCTGCAGAATTAGTCCTCAACCAAGAAACTGAAGTTGTTTCATTCTGCATTTTCTGAAGGACTCACCCAGGTGAGCACCAGGCAATAGCTAAAGCAACTGCTTTTGGATGAGTGTTCTTTAACCAGTGGGTGGAGGGCTGAGTGAATTCCTCCCCCGCTCCATCCTGGCCGCCCTGTGTCTTGCCTTCCTCTCTCTCCTGCACTCTTAATATATTCCCCAGAGGCAAGGGTGCGGGAGACTGGAAACGTGAAAAGTCACCTGATAGGATGCTGCCCGACTCCCTTCTCTGCACAGCATAAGCTCTCCTCGCCTCGTGATAGTGGAAGCAACTCTGCAAGGTTTTGCTCTGCTGAGCAGACTGCAGAGTTTGCTGCAAACGCAAAACTGAAATCCATCTTTGTACCGCCTACTTACCGTCCAGGGGGCTTATATGTCTTCTTGCCTTCTGTTTTTTCCCCAAACCTCTCTTCTCAAAAGGAAGCTCTATTCTGCTGCTAGCAATGCATTCTGAGAGGTGGCTGTGTTGGTGTTACCCTGCTTTCTGTGTGTGGGCATTCGTGTTCACATCCTTGATTAAAGGTAGGCTCTCTTTGATACTAGTTTCTTAAAATATTTTCTAGTCACTGTCTCTGCTTCTGTTTTCCTTGAATGAATTCAATGTAAATCTTCTACCAGCTATTTCTAACCTGAAATCTGTAACATTTCAACAGTATTCTAAGAGAGCTAAACCAATACTAGTGTTCACATATAAACCTCTTCATTTTGGTTTGATAACTAATTGATGAACTATTTCTAGCAAAGAATGAAAATTAAATAGGAGTTCTAGTAATTTTATTTGGTGCTTGAATTTTGCAATTGCTTAAATAATGCAGGCTAAAGATGTGCACATTCAGTACTCTCACTTCAAAAGTGAGAACTTGATGTATTTTTATTCCCTGTTGTTTGTGATCTATAGTTAAATATGCTGGAGTGATTCCATGCACAGGTCTCACTGAGGTTCAGCAGGATTTTTGCTTTTAAGACACTATGTCTTTTTTTAAAGTCTCACTTCTGCTGATGACCAAGACATGTATGAATTACAGTGCTTGTGTTAGCAAGGCATAAGGCATTGTCTTAAAGCAGCACCAATGGGATAAGAATCTCTAAATCAAATATAAAAATGAAAGGCCTGAATACTTTTCTGTTTCTGTTACTTTAAAGCATGTCTCTGTTAAGAAGCCAGTAGGAAAATTTTAAATGAAACGTGAGTTTAGACTTACCAGCTTTAGTTATGAGACTTTGGTAAGAAACTTGTGATCCCACAGTAGGGTACTTCTAGTCACAGTGTGATGGATGTTGCTGAGGAAATCTGAAAAGGAAATTGCAATTTCTTCTTTGAATGGCACAATACATGATATACAAACATCTAAACATTACAGACATTCATGTACATTCTCTGGATGATGGAAGTTTTACTAGAATTTTCTTTCCATACATGTAAGTCACCAGTAACCAATATTTCAGCTTTTAATTGTGATAACCCTCTGAATCTGAGCATACTTTGTATCACCTTAGAGGCAGAAATGTCTTCCCCCCCGCACCCCCCACCCCCAAAACCAGGGGAAGTATGGCCTAAGCGTGAAAACAATGCAGTGTGCTGAGACTAAGCATCTCCCTGTAGGACACCTGTGCAACCACAGGCCCTTATGTTCACTGAAGGAAATGTCCGTTGCAAGTTTATGTCCTATGCTGTGCCAGAGACCATGCTGCCCGACACAAACCCCTTCTATGCTTAATATTTGCAGTCATAAAGGCTTAGCATGATTGCTTTCCTGACATGTTCTACTGCAGTCTGGGACTAACACAAAAACTTAATGACTATGTATCTGAAAAACTAATTTTTCCTCAGTTGTATCAGTAATATCTTTGGCATCATCCTATAGCTTTGATAACACAGCTGTGCTCAATATGAGGAGCAAGTTCTAAAGCTTTGTCTCATGAATTATTTTGAATTTAAGTGCTGAATTATAGTAGTGCATTGAAATAGCAATTATTTTTCTAAGCTGATGTCACCAGAGTCCACATGATTTAATCTTTCCTTTTGAAATCAAAGTCTGTAGCCTTTAGCACTGCGAAAATAACAATTTCAGGTTTGGGCTGTATGTAACAGATTAAGAGCATTCTTCTTGTCTCTGCAGTGAGGCAGCTCAGTGTCTGTCATATACCTTATTCCCTTTAAGCCATCTGGTCTGTCCTGCATTGACTGGTAGTTACAGCTATGATCTGTTTGTTCCCAAAGAACAGCTCTGTATTACAAAAGTGCATGCTATTCTATATGAAATTGCAATATTTCCACTTTTTTTCTTACAGAACTTACTAAATTAACTTCCTTCAGAGCAAAACTTGTGCTATCTAAAGAGCTGAAATGGCAAATATGAGGATAAAATGTAGCCATAGTTTTTGAGAATAGGAGGCATCATTATAATGACCTAATCAGAGTCCCTGACATAGATTTTGATCCAGCAGTTGCAGCCTCAGGCTTTTATTTTCTGAGTAAGTAGCTATGCTTTTCATAAACTCTGTTTTACCATAAAACTGCCAAAGATGAAATCCACCACATTTCTTTTTCTGCTTCACACCACCTTACTCTACTTTGGTCTGATATCCGGGTGGGCCAAATGGAGGCCCATAAGCTAGATCTAGCTTAGGAGACACTTCCATTCAGGCCATTACCTTACACTTTGAGGAGACAGGGAGTGGTGGGCAACATCCTGCGGGAGAATGCTTTCAGCTGACAGCATACTGGCAGCCCTCTTCTCTCTGTGCTCATTACATGGTCACAAGCACAGGATCCAGAAATATAGCATGGACTCATATGTTATCCAGCACCTTCTCTCCCTCTTCCTTACCTCTGACATTGCTGTTCTTTACTAACACAGATACCACAGCCTGTGAATCAGAGGAACGTTTATTTCACAAACTCTTCTCCCAATACAACCAGTTCATCAGGCCAGTGGAAAATGTGTCTGATCCTGTCACAGTGTATTTTGAAGTGGCCATTACCCAGCTTACAAATGTGGTAAGACTCGTTACAGAATACTGCTGAGATTTGGGGATGGTTGCAAACACACGCAAGTTGCTAAAGCAGCAGATGTAATTGTCATGGTTGCACCTACAACTCTCATAGCTGACATCGTCATGTGTGCATACGTGTACACGCTGAGACCTCTGCTGTTCTTTCCGTCAGCTCAGTTGCTCAAATGAGCAGTTCGAAATACATGGATTCATTTGCTTATTCTGTAGCATCAAATCCCTCCACTCCAGGCAGCAGTCTCTGGCACCCAGAGCAGCAGCACCAAATGTTCGAGTCCGCTCTCTGCAAGGCTAGTCCACTCCACAGACACCTGGCTGTGTCCATGTTGGGTAATGCGGCCTAGTTCTCCTGTGGGGCAGTGTCATTTCCCAGTGGTCACAGGAGATAAAATCTCTTTTTTTGCATGCTTTTTCAGTCTGTTTGTTTCAAAACAACATAAGAGGCGTGCAGCCTGCAGAGTGGTGTTTTAAAGTGTGGGGCTGGGAATGAATGTTGTGTGTTCTGGAGTGCGCTGTATACAAGGGTGTGTCTGAGGTGGCAGACCTGCTGGGCAGGGCAGAGGGACTGTGGAAGAAGCAAAACCTGACTTTAACCCTTGCTGAACTCTGCTCTGTGAAGCAAATTGTCCACAGAACAGAGGCTGAGTTTTGATTCTGAGGTGCCTAGTTGAGTCCATAATGAAATGACAGGCAAACAGTGAGGAGCAATATTCAACAGCAGCCAGGGAGCTAAGTTATCTGAGAGTATAAATGAAAGCATTGTAAGTCCTCCTGGTGAAGGCAGTTGTCACCTTTTAGAGTTCCTTTGTCAAAGTATTTTGTTTCCATGTTACAGGTAGCTTGGCAGGTTTCAGCAGTTCTGTCTCACATTGCAGCCCCTGGCTCTGAGTGCTGTCTTCAGAGAAAAAAAGGAACATCATAAGAAAATCAGCTGAATTTTCCAAGAAAGAGTCATGATTTTTACAAGAACCTAGATAGTTTAATCTGTAGACAGGAACCCTACAGGGCCTTCAAAATGATCTTCATGCTTTATCTTCAGTATGAAATGTTCAAAATTCACCTGCAATATTTTCTACCTTTGGCTTGTAAATATCTTAAATTTTTTGAGTCCACATGCTTAAAAACTGAGAACCACCCAAAGCAATATTCTTGGAGATATTTTCATTGTGAATGTCAGCTTGCATTCATAAACACATGTAATATGAGTCTTTCTGAATACTTCTAGGCTGAAGGCTCATTAGAACAGGATCCATCTTTTATTTTTGTGTCTCTTGCAGCACCTTCCTGATTCATCACTGGTTGGCAATAGCAACAATTGACTGTAAAAAGAAGGTCTCAGTCCAACAGTGATGTAGTTTAGTTCTGGTTGAGTGCGTCTGCTCTACAGGTTTGCACAGAAATGCACGAACACTGTGGTTCAGATGCCATTTTCCTTGAATCTTGACCAGTACCATACTGTGTAAACAGAGCTTTTTAAACACTGAATCCAACAAAACATATAGCCACCAGCAGAACCTTATTCCTCCGGTACTGGTCAGAACAAATGTAAGTTTTGTGTTCTCCCTGTACTCAGGCGCCTGGCAAAACAGTGCAACTCTTTGTATGTCTGATATTTGTGGGGCATAATTTTCCAGTAGAGCTTTAAAAACTTTTCAGTAGAGCTCCACATGACTGTGCACAATATGTAAGCCCCCTGAAAACAGCCAGAAGAAATCTGGTATCGGTTAATATGGAATTCTAGTTTCCATTTTTATTGAATAAATTTGTGGCCATCTCAGGATACTGTAACTGACTTACTTATGGAGTGAAGATGTACATGCCTGTGTTTCTTTCTAGGATGAAGTCAATCAGATTATGGAGACAAATTTGTGGCTAAGACATGTAAGTGACTGCATTGCATTTCTCATCCATTTTGATCCATATGATGAAATGTGTGTTACCTTGTAAGCTACATCTATAGAATAAGTGCTTGTTTTGTAACAAGGATATTAAAGGTATGAATAAGGATAAGCTCCATTAACCAAAGCCACATCTGGAAAAGTAATTTCTTTATTCTTATTTCCAAGAAGTTACATCTCCCATCTTTCCTGTGCGGTATACTGTCCTCCAACTTCATGATCATTGGTTTATCTGGTAAATCTAGCTGGATGTGCCCATTAAAGAGTGATTAAATATGCAGCTCTGCGGTCCTAGGTCATCTCCATACTGAATAATCCAACCAAAACATTTCTTAGCAAAAGGAACATGTCTCCATTTTTCCTGATGGTTTTAGCATTTATACATAGACAAAGATCCTTAGAGGACCTAAACTGCTGAGAAAAACAAACCGACTTCCACCAAAACCAGTTTCCTTAAGACACTGATTGTGGTCCACACAAAGCTTTCTATAAAAGATACTGTACTTATGATCAGGATCTTCAGGGTAGGCTGCGAGAGCATGGAGCATGACCCTATGATAAGGCACTAGACAGCGATGCAAGAGAGCTGCTGGGCATCCCTCACTGCCCCTGACTTGGTAATTCACTACTCCTGTGGAACCAATAATATCCCCTGGCAGCAGCTGCCTGTTAGTTTGCATATATACCTCCTTTCTCATTAGGATGCTGCTCTCCTTTGATGCTGGCCTCCTTTAACCTGCAGGGTGCACTCTCATGGCAGCAGCAGCAGCAAGGCTTGTGTTTCCTCTCTGCAGTGGGGAGGTAACCTTGCACAACTAAGGGTCTATACTGATGTAGCAAGACAGAGAAGAGATCTCAGCATGTCAGCAACGGATAAAAATTGGCATCCTATCCCCCTCACAGAGGAGGGAGTAGCAAATCAATGTGAGCAATACTCATATATGTCCGGTGTTTCTCCAGGGCTTGTCTTTCGGGTCATTGTCCCCTTCTACATGTGCTATACTTTCAGTCTTTATCATAGCCTGTCATTTTACAGGAAGATCTGAGAAGCAGATATTTGCTGATATACAAGGTTTTAAAATCCTTGTCCATTCTTCTTTCAGATTTGGAATGACTACAAATTGCGATGGGATCCCAGAGAATATGATGGCATTGAATTTGTTCGGGTACCAGCAGATAAAATTTGGAAACCAGATATTGTGTTGTATAATAAGTATGAGGAACACTTTTCTGTTTTACCCTTTCTCTCAAAAGTGTCTTCTTGCAGTGTCCATGAAAGACATTTTACTTTCATTCTAATTTTCTTTTCTTTGCCTTATTTGTCTTTCTAGTGCTGTGGGCGATTTTCAAGTTGAAGGGAAGACCAAAGCCCTCCTTCACTATGATGGAATGATCACCTGGACCCCACCAGCTATCTTTAAAAGCTCCTGTCCTATGGATATTACCTTTTTCCCATTTGATCATCAGAACTGTTCACTGAAATTTGGCTCATGGACCTATGACAAAGCCAAAATTGATCTTCTGATCATTGGATCCAAAGTAGATATGAATGACTTTTGGGAAAACAGTGAATGGGAAATAGTTGATGCTTCTGGCTACAAACATGACATCAAATATAACTGCTGTGAAGAGATCTACACAGACATAACATATTCCTTTTATATTCGAAGGTTGCCAATGTTTTACACCATAAATCTGATCATTCCCTGTCTCTTCATCTCATTCCTGACTGTGTTAGTTTTTTACCTGCCATCTGACTGTGGTGAGAAAGTGACTCTTTGCATCTCTGTGCTCCTTTCTTTGACTGTATTCTTACTGGTGATCACAGAAACAATCCCATCCACTTCCTTAGTAATTCCCCTCGTAGGTGAATATTTACTCTTCACTATGATATTTGTGACTCTGTCAATTGTCATCACTGTGTTCGTCCTGAATATACATTACAGGACTCCAACCACACACACAATGCCCAAATGGGTAAAAACCATCTTTCTTAGCCTGCTCCCCAAAGTCCTGTTGATGCAGAGGCCACTAGAACAGCAGAAAAAAAACATCTCCAGAAAAAACAAGAAAGGATCCGCCAATATGCCAGGCAAGTCAAAGCACAGCAAACACAAAGATACCAAATTACACAATGAGCACCGATGCAGTCACTGTGATAAGGCAACTGAACTCACTACCACCAAAAGAAGACAACTGAGCCATCAGTCACTGAAATGGATGGCAGAGCACATGGAGTACTCCCCAGAAGTGAAGGATGTCATTAGCAGCGTTCAGTTCATCGCAGAGAACATGAGGTCTCAAAATGAAACCAAAGAGGTAAGAGAGGTAACCACCCAGCTGCCCATGGTGCCACACTTCCAGCAAGTGAAAACATGGTCTAGGAGGACAGCCCACAGAAACTGGAGTTGTTGGGTCTAGAGAAACAAATTTTGAGACCTGTGAATGGGTCAAACTTTCCTACAGAAAGGGAGAAGATAAATCATCCATTGGGGATGGAATAAGAAAAGTGATCTCCTCTGCTCTCCTTCTATCCCCAGTGGATCATTTAAGCAGCAAGACAGTTTTAAATTAGACATGAGGCTCACCCTTCAAAGGAAAAGAAGAGGAGCGTCAGTCAGCTTGTTGCAGCCATGAGGAATGAACTTTGATCAGCAACGGTTTGGGCAAAGTTGATCCTGCCATAGGGCAGGGGATAGACTAGATGGGACCTTTCAAGGTCTCTTCCAACCCTACTTCTGTAGATCCTCAGAAGCAACCCTCTTCCACTGCTCACCAACTGCTCAGCCCTGGTAAGCAGTGACATCTCAATAGTAAGCATGCTATTTACCAAGCAGGGTGCTTTTCTGTGTTAGTAATGGAACAAGCAGGTTTGGGAACTGCTTTTTAAAGAACAGGGCTTGTCTAGCAGCACAGTAGTTGATCTGGAGAAGAACTGTTCTCAGCCAGTGATAAATCTTGTAAAGATATTCCTTTCAGAATGGTGTTGTCTGTACTTTCAGTCTGGTGTGTTCTGATTTCTTTACAGTGATTTGACTATTTGTGGCTTCAACAATACAGTATTTTCAGCCATGACAAACATATGTTGAAATAAAGGTTGAGTTTTGGAGGAAGACAGCTGAATGAAAACAGACAACAGATGAATAAGGACAGATTTTTAAAAAGGAGAGAGAGGAATTTAAAAATGAGACTTAGCATTTGAACTAATGGATTTGCTTGTGTGAGGTTATAAATCTTTCATCCTAACTGGAATTTGTGTCATAGAAAATGAGACACATTGGAATTTAGACAATGTTTTGCTTGGCCACAGTATTTTAGCCCAGCTCTTACTGCCACATCAGCTGCATGAAACATATCCATGTACTGTAGTCAGCTGTTTTCTCTGATGCACTCTAAAAAAGAAGAGGCTTGCATGAAGCAGTCCGAATAACATGCCACCTTGATTATACAGCTCATGATTAAGTCTTCCATTGCCAGTTTTGCTGATTTGCATTTTGCAAATCTCTCCTGCCACATGAAATTGTATTCTTAGTCTGGTGTGTGTATCAGCAGCTCTGTATCTGACTTTTCAAAACATACTAGGGATGGGAAGCAGGATTTTTCATTTGGGAAAAATCCTCTCTTTGGGGAAGAAAGGGTTTTTTTTCTCAGGCAAGCACTGAGGAAATGATTCTGCAGACTGCTTCTGCTTCAGCCAGACATACAAAGCCATATGGGTGATATCATGCACTAGTCCTGTATAAATAAAAGCCCTTTAAAAATTGTGGCAACATTTAGAGCAGCTGGAGTTCTTGCTGCATTTTCTTTCACAAGAAGTACACCAGCAGCCTCTTGGAGGAAAACATCAAGAAATTGGGAATACAAGTGGAAGATCCCTCAGCAGAGAGCTCTTAACCAGTCACTAGTTTTATATGAGTGAATGTTGTTCTGATGCAGTGGTCCTTGTATGTAGGTACAGTTTAAAGGACAGCAACTTCATTGAATGTGGTTCTAAGGTGTATCTCTCAGACATACAAAATCCACTCTGGCCTGCTTAGCACATGACACTGCAGCTGTCCAGTTTGCTGAAATCAGTGGGGCTTGATTGGAGTGACAGTGTGGCAAATCAGGCTGGAATAGCAAACTGTCTTTTGTGTGGGCTGTCAGGATAAATCCTCTGACACGGTCTAGTGATGTGCAGCTATGGTGATTCTGCCTGCTGTTAAACCACCCCACTCTGCACCCATCATGTGAGCAGGTCCTATTTGTTAATGTTAGCGTCACAGCCATAGCTTGCCAACAGACTTGAATATTTAGAAAAATTCAGCAGACCAGAACAGTGTTGAATGTTCTCAGCCAAAAGTGGTAAAACTATTAGAAAATCAGCCCTCTCTAAAAACACTCGAAAACTGCAGCAACTGTAAGCATGACAAGCAACATTCTTGACTGCAAGTATGTTCTTCCTCACATTCAAAAGTACAAGGGACATTTCTACTGCATAATGTCAACTCGCAATTGCATTTTACATTACATGTAGTTTATCCTTTTCATTTTTTTTCTCTTGCAGGTGGAAGATGATTGGAAATACATAGCTATGGTGACAGACAGAGTATTTCTCTGGGTATTTATAATCCTTTGTGTGTTTGGGACTGCAGGGCTCTTTATCCAGCCACTAATAGCAGATACATAACTTGAGCCACTCCTTTTTATCCAGTTTTGTTCTTGTTTCATTTTCGGCTCGGAACTGTCCCCTATATTTCTCTCCTCTTACATAACCCCTCTGCTCATCACCTCCTCAGCACTCAGCCACAGAGGAAAGGAGAAAGAGAGGGAAGGGTCTTCTGGGAAGGCAAACAATCCAAAACAGAATGAGAAGAGGACTGAAAATGGGAGATGAGCATGTGGTCTTTCTATGATGGAATGCCTGGGATTTTTAGAGTGCCTGCCTGTCTTTTCCTCAGTGAGATCAGCTATAACAATTGCACTGAGGATCACAGGAGCAGATTGAAGTTACTGAGCTTTTTCCTTGGGTTCAGGACAGTTCAGGCACTTCTGAGTGCATTGCCCAAGGAGGACTCTACCTGGCTTCATTTTTCTCTCCTGATCATAACTGTTCCTCAGCTTTGAGTTAATTTACATTTCCTCTCTATTTCTCTCCTTGTACAACAGCTAGTCTTTGGTATGGCACTTAGATGAGATACCACAGTCATACTGACTGGACCAGTGTTCCTTATTGTGTTCTTGTGTCAGAGCAGACCATAATCAAAATAAAAATACAATCAAACCAATCCCTCAGCCCTGTAACATTTTCAATACAATCTAAAATAAGCAGTTCCCATCTTCTGCAGTATATGTACACAAAGGAGGGTCCCAGATCAACAAAGTACATGTTTACGTTTATGTTTGAAGTCAGACAGGTCTTAACTACTTAATCATAGTTGAAGACAAACCAACTTAGTATTTTGCACTGCAAGTAGCCTTGCTGACATCATCTGAAGCATCCTCGAGTCACCAAAGAGGAACAACCTGGATGCACTATGGAAGACCAGAAAAGACCTGAACTATCTGTGGTTACCGTGTAAGGCATCCACATTTGAAATTTACATGCTGCTTAGACCTTTAAAAACTAGTTCATCTGCCACTTAACTTTGCATGTGACCAAAGTCCCCTTTACTTCCTGATACTGAATACCAACATCTTGGTGAGCTCCAGTAGGATTTCCAAGCCACATTTTTCTCATCAGGTTAACAGTGGTCCCAGTCCACACGTTCTGCTCTGAAAACTCTTGCTTGCTCAGGCTCAGACATAAGCCCAACAGGGAAGGGTTTGTCCCTGAGTAACTACTCATCATAGACAAAATTGGCTTAACAATATTGGATTGATCTAAGTTTTCCTGTGTTTTTAAAACCCAAGACCAGCTTGGATTACACAGATCATCACAGCAGGAGAAGGCTGGCTATCATGAATCCTATGCAAAGCTGGGCACCTTGGTCCAAACATCTCTGCAGCAATTTTCTATTTGCTGGCTCGTCATGGATCAGTGCTGTGTGTTCAAACCTGTAATTGTAGGGACGCTTCCCTTTGGGGCTGAGGTTGCTGCTATGTAACCAGGTTCCCAATCCTAGTGTGCTTAATCCTGAAACACTTTGTAGATGTGCACCTGATGTGGACAGTTTGCCCTCAGGTTACTTGCCTGTTTAGATTCCTTTTGGTTTTGTGCTGAAGGATTCTTCTCTAAAAGGAACCATTCCAATTAAAGCCAACGGCTTCAAGAGTAAAAAGCCCTTCTGTCTTATAGGAGGCTCTAAATTTAACTGTACAGTGTCAGTGCAGTGTTTTCAGTGTCTGCCATGTACCAGTCTCTGCTTTGAACATCACCAGTCCTTGGAAAGTATGACTCTGATTCTGAAGTCCCTGACTAGCCTTTTACTCTCTTTTAATGCTCCATAATAAAGAGAATAAGGCTGAATAAATATATATGTCAGAGATAAGGGTGGAATGACAAGAATATAACTGTCTTAATCCAGTAGTTGAAATATGTGAAGTCATGATTTTCTAGAAGAAAAACGTATTTTCTGTAATTCCCCTGAATGTTGCATAATTATGTAGTGACTGACAGACAGATGTATGAACAAGCATGGTTTGTTTTGTCAGCCTGTCAATTAAATGCCACTCCTGGGATATACTTTCTTGAAGAATTTGTATTTTTTTTAAATCTCCCTGCTATACAACATAGTAGAGAAGCTACTAAATGACATTTGTTGTGCTGGCTCTTTAATCGGAAAGGAGGAGAGGGGAAAGAAAGGGAGGAGAGCCTCATTCTGAGCCTGAAACCTTCATTTCTACAGGAAAGACATCTGACCACCAGCATTCACTGTTGCAGTCTATGACCATACAAACAATGAAATATTGTGGCTGAAGGTGTACTACATTGGTGTCTTAGGCATGACAGATACTACCCTGCAGCCAGTAAGCTGACTTCAGCAAAATCCCTGGCTTTTTGTCAAAGCATTCACAATTGTACAGCTCCTCATCTCCAGTTAGGAGGCCTCTGTGCCCCAGCACCAGCTCCTTGTCTTTGTCATTTTGTTGTGGATGGAGTCATGCACTTCACTCGTAAGAGTAACAATATGTTTATTGATATAAAATGGTGATTTAACCAAGTTTGATAGTAAATGCAACAGTGGTGTAACAAGATCTGATGGCAAGCTTCACTTGGTATTTACTGCATAGAGGACAGGGTCAGACAAAACTGTCAGGGAAACCCTCCCGTTGAGTCATGAGGTTCAGGAAGGACCCCCTTGCATTCTAAACTCCTTCTCAGAGGGGAGTTTAAGTGTGGCTGGATCCAGACTTGGTCAGCGGCTTATGTCTAAAGGATTATACATGCACAATCACTCCTTTACATCACTTAGCTAAGATTTCAAAGTTTGGCATGCTATTAAACACTTACTGAGAATCTGTTGTGGCAAGGAATCTCTCAACCTCGAGGAGTAACCTTGAGAGGCATCCATACTCAAGGGGAGATCCTGGCGTGCAGCCTGCTGCTGTGCAGGAGAGCTCAGTGGGCCCTGGGCTGTCCACAATTTATGGAGTAAGATAATTGACTCATAGTCATATTTGCATACCGACTACAGATGTTAGCGTCTTCCAAATTTGGCTTGAGTCCAACATTGACTAGCATGTGGTTAGGTGGGCGCATTGCTCAAGTTGATAGGCTATTGTGTTGTTACCTGGCTCCCCTGAATCCACTTTGAGCCAGATGCAGCCATCATGGCCAGATGCATCTACTACAATCTCCGCTGGTGGTTATCACTTGACCAGGGTTGCGGAAAATACAGGTCAGGTTGGGGCAGGGGGGAGCACACCGCTGCACATTTACCGTACTACACATCTCTCTGTCATGCCTCTGGACCTCAAACACAGGGTTTGGACAGTTTAGTCCATCAGCCTGGTATCCTAGGAAAGTAAGATTTACAAAGTCATGTTCTGTCTCTCTTTGAGTGTACTATTTCCCCTTCCTTCCCCCCACCCAGTGACTTTTGGATCCTTCTTTTGCCATTTTCAGCTGTGTTTGGCACATTCAAGACTTGGGAGCCTTGCATACTCCTGTCAGCTTTGTGAAGGTAGTTGGCTGATTAGAGAGAGTGGAGGTGCGGGACACGATAAGCATCTCACCTTGGAGAAGGCTTCGATAGGGGCCCACATCTGAGCACATATGGAAGAACCCACACAAAAGTGACATTTGTGCTTGCCCCAATTCTTGTCGTGGGACCTTCTAACTGAAATACCAAGAAAAGTTTCAACAAGAGCTGGTGCCATCCCAGGCGCTGAGTTGGGTCACACACCACACACAGCCACAGGAAAAGTAACCATATTCATTGCAGGGCACACAAGAGTGGTGTGTCTATTCTCACCCCATCACCTCCAAAGCCACATCAGCAACACCCCGTACTATATGTCCCAGTGATAAGTGTAGCACTGGCAGCAAGAAATCTCCTTTACTTGAGAGTGATGACATCTATGAATTAATTTTAAAACCACAGAAGCAATTTGACAGCTCAACCAGCTCATCACATTCTCTTCCCAAAGGAGACCATCTTTGCACTTCCCCCCCCATTAAAAGGCCCAGAGGAGTTTGTCATATTTGCCTCTTGGTGGATGGACGATACACATGGTCCTGCCAAGCAGTGCCAAGGTTCTGGCAAACCAGTGCCAAGAAATCAAAGCAGCACATGTTGAGGCAGTAGTAAGACAGTGGGTTGCTGGGTTTTTTTAAGATTTGCAATTTGCAATGTTGTCATCCACAGGCAGAGCACATGGAGCAGAGGGAAGGAGCCCATCAGAGGACTGTCTGCCCATCTGCCCTCCCTAGTTGTGTTTTTAGTGGTAGCCCAGGCTGTGGGACATGCTGAATGCATTTGTGGGCTAGCGGCAAAGAGATTCAAGGAAGCTCAGAAACAGCCAGCACAAGGAAATAATGAGTAGTGAGACTACAGATGCGGCAGTCCCAGATGCAATGCTAGAAAGACCAGAGGCCAAAAGCCATACCTGTGCAGTGTTCATACATCTCCCACTCCAAGGACCTGAGCCCTGCTGACCTTTACTAGCATAAGCCAGAAAAAGCAGCTTGGCATCAAACACAGCCATGTGAGACACAGCCATGTGCTGCCTGTGGGTGGGCAACCAAAGGGTCACAAGGTGAGGACAGGGCCATCTGCCAGCTAAACACCTGAAGCACTTGCCCAGGAGAGGGTTTTGTCATCTGTCATGCCTAGCAGGCAGCCCCCTGGCAGCAGTGCTCAGAAGGAAAACCTATCACTAAATGATTTCAAGACTCTGTAAATGCTGGGAAGAGGAGCTTCCTGGCCTTTTTCCTACGGATGTTTCACAGTACTGGCCAGGGGAACAAGCTGACTTAAACAATGCAAGAAGAGAGGAGCAGCTGGCAGTAAGATCAATGTGTAAGAGTTTCATACCAGTGTCTTATGTTAAGACATCTATCTGTATATGCTAAACTAAATGGGTCTGTTCTAGATTCCTGCAATATAATAACCAGATCTGAATGCTCCCTCCTCAAACTTACTCACAGACTTTCCAAGAATGTGACAACCCCTCTATTTGAATAGATTTGAGACAAGGCTTTTAAAATGGGCTACAGTCCAGACTTTGTTGACAACAGAACAACAACAAAGCCCAGCATATGAGCACTCTCACCTCAGGAATCATTTACTAAATACATCTTTATTAATAGTGATTGCACAAGTGAACAGAGCTTTCTCGATGACACAACAAGATGGGATGATATTAACTCACAGAGGTCTGGTGTGCACACATAATCCAAGCACAAGAATACCTCTGTGTATTTTTAACACCCTCTAACCTCCATTCCTAGGGAGAAAGTTTCAAGGCTAACTAAAGCTTTAATACCAGATTCACATTTAAATGGTCGAAAATTGGATCTCCAAATCCTTTGCTAGTCTTGCAAACACCTGCAAGTTCTGAATGGGATTTTCTGAAGCACTCCATGTTGGCAAAACACTGCCCCTGCAAAAGTGGTGAAAGCTTCACCTCTGCATTTTGTCAGGTCTCATTTACACTTTTAAGGGCTGTTTCTAATCATGCAGAAGGATCCCATTTTAATGAATTAAAGGAATGAAATTCTGAGTTGCCTGGGAAACATGAACAAGACAACACCCAAATATGCATCTTCCCAGTAGCCAGTGACCCCACAGCTCTCAGGAGAAACTCCACTTCTGCACCAACCACAAGTTTCATTTGCTGAAAGTGATGTCTGCAGCTTCCCTGCAACTGAACTGTTTAGGAAGATCACTGTTCCCTTATGGAGTAGCATAGCCACCTTTCTCCATGCAATATGTTTCAGGTGATCTTCTATTTGTCTTGTGAACAAGCAGGTGCAGGAATCATAGTTTCTAAATGCAGATCATGGGGAAAAATCCTTATTTGTTCAGTCTTTTGATACATTACAGAGCAACAGGCAAAATTGCAAGTAATACTGAAAAGCAGGTAACACCTTGTAGCTTCCTGATGGCCAAGAGAAGAGACAAAGTGTGCATGCCATAAAGGCTGGTAGCAGGTGGGCAGAGTGGTAAGTTCTGCCACTGTTGAGCTGATCCTGCAGCAAGGTAAGGCCACAGAGTCGTGGTTTTGAGCATCCCATCTAAAAGGTATTTGTACTTTTTCTGATGCATGTGCTGTGCAATTGCCAGTTCTGACACATGCACGAAGTGATTTGTAGAGACTTTGTGGGTTTTACTTGGAAATGTAGATAAACTGAGTACTGATTTGTGTTCCTACTATAACTTCTTTTATAAAGTAGCATTTTAACTGACCGATCTGCCTTTTAAGTATAATCATTGTGCCAGAAGTACTATTTCCAATTGTAACTAATAATCTTGGCTGTTATTTTAATATAACCAGGCTACCAGTAAAATACTTATAACCCAATTGTGCAACCCCAATTCACTTTAGGACTCAGCTGCGCACTAAGTCCTTCTCTGATCTCAGCCGAATCTGTAACTGGTAGAGTTGTATGAAGACAGAAAGCAGTAGTCAATGCCCGCTGTTACCATCATCTTCCCTCATTCCTGCTGTTGCTTCCCATCTGTACAATAGAGACCAAGCTCGAAGGCATCACCATCCCTTGGCATTATACTTGTTGTATGCTACTGTGGGAGCACTATCTACAAAGTGCTGTTCAGCCACATCTGTAACGCAGGGGTAAAGATCAGAACTGAACCCGTCACTGACACCACCAGAAATAACCACAGGAAGATCCGATCCAGGACTTGAGCTACAAATTTCCAGTCTTGGACAACCTGAGAAGGAGAGAGGGAGAACAAACAGAAACAGTAATGAGCCCAGTACTTCACTGATACTGCTATATATATTTCAGCTCCACAAATCTGTTTTTAAAATTAGAATTTTGTAGTGTCCTGTATCCTAAAACTGACATGGATCACCTTTTCAGCACCTATAGCTGTGAGTCACTCAAAACCCCAAAACAGTTTGGTAGTTTTATGCACATGGTAATCAGACTTCTTTCAGCCTGTGCAAAATCTTTTAGCTAAAAGTGCTCGAATTCCTCCAGGAGAGGTTGCTGTGCCTCTTGCATCTGTAAAGAGCAGGGACTCTCACAGCATAATACAGTTCTCCTTGAAGCAATGCGTTTTCCCAAAAACCATATTATTTATCAAGCAAGGGAAGCTACCAGGACATGTCTTAGATGAGAGCAGGAGGAAGATGCAAAGGGAAAGGCATGCAGAAAAGGTAAGAGCTTGGAAGCCATTGCTGTCAAGGAAACTGTGATCCCTCCTTGCCCTCCCTTTACCTACCTGTCTGATGAAATGCTCCTTTTTAACATGCCTGGAAATGTATCGAATGGAGTCAGATGCCTTTTCCAGAAAGGCAATAACAATTTTCTCTCCGTCTTTTGCTTGCCTGTGTTTCTGCTTCCCTGGGAGCTTTGATTTCAAGGTGGTTTCCTTTTCTTCTGTCTCTGAGAAGGAGTAACGATCTACATGGCCCTTCATGCAGAGCAGCCGAGGCAGCTTCTGGAGGAAGAGTCTTTTAACCCAGGGAGCCATGGGATGGTAAGTTGCTGAGGAGCGGTGGTGGACATTGATAACAAACACAGTCACGATGATAGAGAGGGTCACAAAAATCATGATGAACAGCAGATATTCACCAATCAGAGGGATGACTTTGGAAGAAGAAGGGATTATTTCCTCAATCACTAAAAGGAAAACAGTGAGGGAGACTAGAACTGATGTAGACAATGAAAGCTTTTCTCCCTCATCTGAAGGCAGGTAAAACACCAGGACAGTTAGAAAAGACAATCCCAGGCAAGGGATTATTAAGAAAAGAGTGTAAAACAGTGGAAGGCGTCTCAAAACAAAGGAGTAAGTGACAAATGGGTAAGAGTACAGCCCATCCTTCCTGTTGCCTTTCATACCTTTGGCGTTTAAGATCTCCCACTCCCCATTATCAAAGAAGTCTTTCCTGTCTACATTTTCATCCACTAAAATCAAGTCCACCATACTGCCATCATACGTCCATGACCCAAACTTCATGGAGCAGTTCTGCCTGTCGAAGGGGAAGAAGGTCACGTCCATCGTGCAGGAGCTCTTATAACTGGCTGGTGGTGTCCAGGTCACCGCTCCATTGTACTTCACTATGACTTTGGTCATCAGGGATCCTTCAAAACGTCCATCAGCACTGGGAGTTGGACAGGAAGAAACAGTACCGAGTTCAGGACTAAGTTTGCCCCAGTCCTAACCCCTCCCCAGCTATGCTTTCTATCCATCACCTGCAGCACAAGGGAAGCCAACATTTGTACTGCCTAAAGAAGCAACCTTCTGACAGCACTTGGAAGCTTCATGGTGCCTGACATACCTTCCCCAAGCTCTTGCCTAAGCCCAGAGCAAGCAGCCATGCTACTCACTTTTCAAATAAAACAATGTCGGGAAGCCACAGGGACTCAGAAGGGACACGGATGGCAGTGATCCCACCGTATTCCTCTGGATTCCAGGAGAGCTTGTGGTCAATCCATTCCTGTAAGAAGCCAGCAGAGTCCTCTGCCCATTCATACACAACAGCCTCATTCCTCCTCCCACCACTTGCCTCAGAGGGACTGCATTGCACAGCACAATGGGCAGAGCTTGGTGTAAGCCTGCTCAGCTGCAGAGAGGATGCCAGGCAGGCATAGCTGGGAGATGTTAATCCCCACAAGCACTGCCCTTCCAGCCACAGGTGGACCCCAGCAACCCATCCCTTTGCAGGCAAACTCAAGGCAGGCGCTCCAGGAAAGCACTTGACTCGCTTCACTCACCACCCTGCCCAGCCCACGTGAGGGTAGTCCAGAAGGAAGGAGACACTTCCCTTGATATAGCACCTCTTCTTCCCTCTGACAACCAGCCTATGGTGTCTTTGGCCGACACTGACCCCATAGAAGAGCCAGGTGGCATGGCTACTACTACCCAAGTGGCAGAGAGGTGGCCTTTAATTACTTTTCAGTGGAGACCTGGCTTTTTTCAGTGAACAGAATACAATACCTAATATCTGTACACTCTCTTTGCAAACCAAATCATTGTTCTTTCATCAGAAAGACCTGCACACTATTGCAGAAAAGATAATACAATGCTATTGTAAAGCATTTGGTTACAATCCTGAAAAGATAACACTAAAAAACCACAAAAGCATGGTGAGTCTTGTCCATTTTCATCATGCTGAACTCCAGAATAATTTTTCTCACCTCTTTTTGTTTTTCAGATGGGGAGATCCTAGCAAAGTGGCTCTAGCAACCTGGAGATTTCCACAGAGATGCAGTGGAAAAGCAGCTCTCTGATCCCTATTCATTATTGATGGGGGTTTTCACTTGCCCACAGGAACAGCAGCGAGAGGAAGCAATAGGTGTAGAATGTGGTCAATACCAAGAAGCAGAAGATGAACCACTTTCCATTAAGCTCCAGCACTAAGAGGTCCCCAGGGATGTGGGGGTCTCAGCCTTCTCTGAGCAATTTCCTGCATGACATAAGGACGAGCCAAAAAGCTATATTCTATGCTTCTTCTCCCACCATATTTTTCCCCTCTCACTTCTTCAATTCCACATGCTTTTCACACCTATGCCTACAAAGACTTATTATTTCAGTCCTTTACAGTGTGACAGCAACCCAGATCCTTAGTAGAGACCTAAACACAGACAGTGAGAACAAGCATCCTCCTCCTCCAGGTGCAGGCAAGTGATGGGGCCCAAGGTCATGGGCAGGTGGTTGGTAGATTCCTCCTAAAATCTGGCCCAAAGCACAAGCAAAGGAGGCAGTTGCCCAGGGTGGTACCATAGCAGGATTAACGGCCCCACTACCTGCACCAGAAGAGATATGGACCCACTCTCTGAACTGCCCAAATGGCTGGTGTCAGCTATCAGGCACAGCCCTTCACCCCTGGCTCCTCCTGCTGCTAAAGGAGGGATGGGAGCTGTTCAAGTGTGGCAAGAGATGAGGGGTCATTGCTGCTCTTAGCCTCAGCAGCAGGGACAGAGCACACCACCTGCAGCGTGAGCTGGTGGGTATCTACCAGATGTTTCCAGCAGCCTGGGCTGTTAAGTGGGCACAGACTCACAAGTGTCCTGGACACCTCCTGTAATAGGTGTCAGGGAGCTTAGGCTGGAAACATACCTGTTATGCAAGAGGATAATCAGGGCTGACAGCAGCAGCCAACACAGTCAGCTCATAGCCTGCACTAACACAACAGAAGCAAATACCCTGTGAGCCACCTGGAGATATAATCATCCCTCTGGAGTTGAATTGGAGCAGCCCCTTGGCCTGGGTTATTTGCTGCATCTGCAATACTCTTCCCTCCCCCCTGCCTTGCAATGATTTCTCTCCCAGCTAAAGTGCTCTTTCTTGTCTGCAAGGCAAATGGTTTTGTGTCTTCTTACTAGAGCAGAAAATAGATTGTGTGCAGACTTTGAAGATGAGCAGTTTAAAACGGGAATCGCTCTATGGGCTATGCTGACACAAACTGTAGCAGCAGATGCAAAGGGCCCTTTCCTCTCTTCTCCCTTTCTTCCAAGCTGCCCCAGACCACCCACCCCCACCCAGCCCCCAGCATTACTCTCCTCTTCCTGTCTCTGGGCTGTCACTCAAGTGCTTAACCCACAGCAAGCTGACCAAGAAACACTGGACCCAGAAACACTGGACCCAGATTCTTGACACTTGCTAGTAGACTCCATAGCTTGCTTGAACCCAGATACTGTCTCAGTAACCACTAAAAGCTCCTTTGCACCTTGTGTGTCTGCCTGCATGCACATCATCAAGTCCCACCATCTTGAGCATGTGGATATTTGAAATTAAAAAAAAAAAAAAAAGAAACCCCTTGGATTTAAGCTTTGCTCACCTAAGAAAAGCCAGGCTTTTGCAGAGAAATTATGACTGTGATTCCGCCTCAACCTCATACACCCCAGGGTGAGGACCAGACTCCCCTTACCTCCCCACCTCCTGCAGAAGGACAGGGTCTGTGTCATTAGAGAGTTCAGGTTTGTTTAATGTTTTTCACTACCCAAAAGAAAAAGTTATTTTAATGCTGTTTAGTTTTATGGACCTTTTCCTAGCTGTTGTGCTTATGCACTCTAATAATCCCCCAAGCATTGGATTGCACATGGGACCAGTTCACGCTGAGCCTACAGGAATACATGATTCCCAAAGCAGGATACCTGGGTCAGGCCACAAGTATTAAGTGCTCACCTCCTGGGGGCATCTGCATGTGTGAAAATCAGAACCTGTGTCTCACTTATTTTCTGCTCCCTTTGCATTTCATTTGGGCCTTGATGTTCTCTGCCCCTCAGAGAAGCAGTATTAGAAATGGTAACAAGAAGTGAGAGCCCTGCTCAACAATTCTGAAAATCACAGTGCTGAGTTACCCCAGAGAGTTGCCCTGGATAAAATCTGAGCAGAGTTTCTGAGGGCCTCCAGAGAAATCAGCATGTCTACAGTACAGACTCCTGGGTAGGTCCTTCTTTTAGCCACAGCATGAGGCTGAAGGATCAGATAAAGTAGTTTCCCCCTCATCCTCCCCCACACCCCAGACGCAGTGAGTGGATGGTGGCATGTCCCTACCTCCTGCAGCATGTTTGGAGTAACTTGCAGCAGAACCTGATTTCCCACAGCAAGAGTGGTGACACAGACTCCAAGCTATGACTCTGGGAAGGCCAATGCTGCGATTCAAAGAGGGTGCTCAGCATGGAAGGTCTAACCCTAAATGTCCCCACACACGTTCATGCAGCAATGGAGAAAGGATCAGTAGGTGTCTGTCTGTATTAGTGTCTCAGGCCTAATGCTTTTGAGCAGCCTGGACTTGCATTTGACCTGCTAATGTGAGCCAGAATTTCAGGTCCCTGTCTTCTGCAGTCACTGTAACCTGGGTGAAGATGTCACCCAGCCTGGGGGATGAAGGCTGCTCTAGGGCACAGGAGACTTTGCTGTCCTGGATGGACCAAGCAGCCAAGTCTTCCCTGAGAAGGAGGAGATGGTCAGACCCAGGAATATTCTGTCAAAGGCTGCAAAAGGCTGTAAAATCTTTTGGGGGACACTTGCAGGAACAGAGAGAATGAGGAAGGTGAAGTGGGTTGATTCCATACCTGCAGACTGCAGGACTTGGACCTGCCAGGGGAGGTTGGTCATGCAGCCTGCAAGGAGACAGGGTGGGAATGGGAGAAGATAGACAGAGGGTAAGGGGTTACCCTTGTAGGAAGGCTCTGGTGTCTGCCCAAGTGGCTACGGGGAGTAAGGAAGCCAAGATCTGGCCCCGTGCACATGAGGGGCTCTGCAATTGCAGCTGAAGGTAGGGAAAATGCAACACTGCAGCTCTTTCAGGGCAGGCTCTCCGCAGTTGGATTCAGATCAGCAGTAAATTTCCCCAGCAAAAGGGGAAATTCCTGTCTTCCCTGCGCTGAGGGGAAGTCTGAGCTTCTCCCTCTTCAAGGGAGAGACCATATTTGCATATAATGTCCATATGGCCTTTAGGGGTCATGCACCACCCAGAAGCTCACACTCACTGCAGCACTACAGGTAGCAGACTGAGAACAAAAACTGAGCCACATTGCTCCTCCACCAGCCCAGCAACCCCTAGGAACCACTTCCCATGGCATCATTTCAAGTACGGCTTGGGTTTTATGTCCCCTGCATAGGATCAGCTGACATGTTTATAGATACTCATATGGCTGAGAGACTTAAAATAATTGTCACAAGGTCAATAAATTGGTGCAGTGTAATCTAAACGAAATGCAGTGTTCTTCAGCAGTGAAGAGAAAGGAGACCTAACAGTTCAACTTCCACCTTTCCCCCATTTGTATAAATTATTGTCACTTCAAGAAGCAATTATGTTACAGAGATCTGATTGATTTGCTACAGATTTTAACTGGGCAAAGGGTGGGGGTGAGTGAGTGGGATGTAACATGCTGGCCTTTTCTTTCTCTTTACTCATGCTGAAGAAGAAATCTATCCGAGGCACCACTCTTAACTCCAGCAAGAGAGACAGTACTTGCGTGACCTCTAAGTCTGAGACAGGATAGTCCCTCAGGGCACACACAGCATCCCAGGGACGGCCACTGCAGTATTAGGGGATGTTGCTTCCCTGAAATACAGCTGGCTTGAGTGCACACCTGGGGTGCAGGCCAGGAGAAGAGGGTACCCTGTTTCCTAAAGGCCCATCTGCCTGCCTTTCTGCCCCTTTATGCATTTGCTGAATTGAGAGGAGTAAAATAAAAACGACAGGCAAGGTAAAATGTGCTGCTTTTGTCTGGCCACTCGGCGTCACAAAAGGGGATGGATGGCTTGGTGTGCTGGGATGGCCGCTCAGCTCAGCAGCCCTGCACTGAAAGGGGAGGTCTGATTCACTCTAATTTACCTGCTTCAGCCACACGTTCGTTGTCATCAGTTGATTCTTCTCATCCTAGGGTGACACAAAGTAGAGAGGATTGCAATACCAAAACAGGCAGCAGAAACAGCCCCTATGCCTGCTGAGTCCAGCCCTGTGCCAAGCAGAGGAGATCCCTATGGTCCTGTTTCCCCATGGGCCTGGTCTCTTCAGTCACTATTGGGGGAAGTGAACTGACTTTCTAGGTGCTGTGCCTGCTCTCCCTGGGAGTTCCTGAGGCTGGAAAACTGAGGTCTGGCATTTCACAGCAGCCTGAAGGAATCAGATCTCAAAGAGCTGGGAAGGCAGCAGGGCTCAGCCACTGAGTGGGGTCAGGACACACATGGCTGTGGGCTCACAGGATGGCTCATCTCCCCACAGTGCTTAGCCCAAAGTGAGTTTGGAAAGACACAAGCTGAAACATTGTCCTGCATATGTAAATAAAGCACAAAATTAGAGTCTGCCTTCCATGGCACACAGGGATGCTGCCAGGGACTGGAGGATGTGAGGAGCACACCATTGTGTGGGTACCTCTGGGCGCTGTGCAAACTCCACTGTGCATTGCAGTGATGGAGGAGAAAGGGAAGGGAAACTTTTCATGTGGGCAAAAACATGGAATTGTGTGTTTTGCCTCTGGCGTCTTATCTGAGTGGCCAGCTGGGTCAAGATATGAGCTGCCTTTGGCCTGGATACAAACTTGCTTAGAGTGAGCAATGTCCAACAAGCTCTACCCTTCCTCACCCCTGTCCTGTAGCTGCCCCGACATTAAATTGCAAACATAGGCACCAGGGACTGTCTGGCATGGACTGTTTGATTAACACCTGATGCAATGAGGCCTTATTCCCCAAGAGCAGCAGGGAAAAAAAGACTTTCAGATTTGCTGCAAAACAAACAAGTCTTACAGCCCATGCTGTGTGTGAGCAGGAGGTCATATTACCAGCACCGCATCATACTCAGTATATTGTTGCCTGACCATCACTTTGCATTTCATGCGTCAGGACGCAAAAGCCAATGGCATCACCAGCTCTCCCAGGTGGATGCACAACTGTCTGTAAAAGAAGGAATGATTTACCAAGCTCAGCACAACACTTACCACATCCACAAGCTGTGATATCTTTAATCCAAAAAGGACTTTGATGGTGTCATTGGAGTTTTCCACGGGGCGGACCCATTTCTGATAGCCTTGAAATAAGTGCTTGAGGAGCACATCCTCATTTTCAGCGATTGAACTGAAGGCAGCCACATCTGGAAGAGAGCAACAGAGAGTGGGAGCATGCCAGAAAGCAGATGTGGAGAACAGCATGACCTGAAGAAGGGAGGCAGAGTGATGATGTGAGACAAATTCACCTCAGGGCAGCTATTGTCAGTAAAATCTGTAGGAATTCAGATGCACAGACTCTCAGCAGACCCAGGGTGAGGGGAGAGAGGGGAAGGCAAGACAGCCCAAGCCCAACTCATGCACAAAAAAAATCATCAAACCAGAGCAGTGATGACTTTGTACTAGGTTTCTGTTTTGTGTGGCCTTTTTGTCTTGCATCAACGTACTTGCCCAGTCTTTCTTGTTTATTATTCTGTAGAAGATCTGCAGGCTTAGAGCATCAGGTGCTCTCTTTCATTCGAGTAGTAAATATCCAGCCTGATAAATGCCACCCTGAGAAAGAGTTCTCTTTTTTCAGATACCTGTGGTGTACCACAGAGAGCTGGGGCTACAGGGGAAATCTGGTCACTGTGGGGCAATCCCTGGCTAGCTGTCTTGCAGCTAGAAACAGCAGCAATATACTATAGGCATTGCAGGGCCCAGGGATTTCACTTGCACTTGGTTGGTTTCTATGGCCTCTCTAGGACAGAGGCCGCCCTGCACGAGGATCAGGGTGGTGGGATTTCCTCACTGGAAGCTACAGGGCTGTAAGCCGGATCTGAGGGAGCCTCATGCAACACTTGGAAATGACTCCTCCTTCTGGGGTTAACCAGGGGATAGTAGCATATCGTTGAGAAAACTGAATTCTCCCAGCTGGGGGGTGGGTTGGGTGGGCAACACCACTATTGGAGCAAAAGGAGCTCATCTGGCCACAGGAGGAGCTGGGTGATGCAGCCAGGGCCAGGTCTGTATGCAACCAAGCACAGAACCATCATGGTCTGTACCTGCAAGGCCATGCTTCCCCCGCTGCCGCTACCATGAAAGGGGAAGGGCAGTTGAGACCCTCCATCCTTTCCCAATACCAGCCCCACTCTCCGTGATGCTGAGGTCCTGACACGACCTCCAACTCTTCCCTTGTGCACACACACAACACCCGAGGATGAGAAGGATTTCACCTCTCTTCAAAGGCACCATGGAGGAAAATGACCTTGTGATGATTGGCCCTGTGCCACGGGTGTCACGGCCAACACTGCTGTCCTCAAAGCGCACTGCTTGGGGCCCACCTTGTCCCCTCACCACCCATGCCCTGCCAGCCCCAGTGTGAGCAGGACACCTGTGCCTGCACTGCCAGGCATTAGGTGCAGGAGGGGTCTGCAGACAGAGGGTCGTGGCCAAGGGATAGCGCGAGGACCAGGCGATGGGAGAGCCTTGGCAGGGGGGCACAGCTGAGGGGCTCACACATGCTGTGCAGAAAACATCAGAGGTAAGGCAGCCCCCAACAGAGTCCCTGTGCCATGGGGAGAGAGGAAAGGGCATCCAAGCTCAGCAGTCCCTCCAGACAGAAAACTGGAGGCAGAGGGTAACACTCTGCCATGTGCATGGAGGAAAGGTCGTGACCACAGACCACTGTCCCAGTCCATGTCCTCTTCCCCCAGCAGCTGCTGCCCATCTCCTGGGCAAGACAGGCCGTACAGCCTCCTCTGCCTTGGTGGGGTCTGTGTGAGGCCATAGGTAGGGGGAGACCTGGCAGCAGCACAGCTGAAGGACTGCCTGAAGCAAAAACTTACTCCAAGACCAGAGCTTCGTATTGGACAAAATCATTCCCTAATGCAGTCTGGATTCTCTCAGGATAGCACAAAATCCAAGTGGCACTGTCATCCCCCACTTCCAGCCACAGCAAATGCCCATTCCTCTTTGAGAAGCTGTAAACTCTGAAGCCTCATGGTTGCTGTTCACAGGGTAACAATTACTTTACTGTCAGATATTCTAGCACAGGCTGTGCTTGTCCTCTATTGTTGGATGTGCAGTGGTGGTGGGGTTACCAGACCCTGGGGAGGTGGAGGCCAGCTGGTCAAAGGGAGCTTTCACACTCCTTTCCACCTGCTCTGCACCGTAGCCAGGGACGGGCTCATGCAGCTGTCAATACAGTTTGTAGCACCCTCTGTGGCCACCCTGTGTCTTGCTGCTTTGTCACAAGCCTTTGAGGTCTGCTGTTACCAACTGGGAAACAACAAATGCCCCATCTGCTTGCTCCAGGGTTTATTTTCATGCCAGGGCTAACCCCTAGCTCCACACAGCAAATGGGGGACATCTGTCCTAGTAAACTGTATTGCCTGCCCAAACATGCCAGACAGGCATTGCATCCACATCCAGAGGAAGAGAAAGAAAGAATGTATTTTTCTCAGCTCACTACTGACAACCTCAGAGATCCAATCGCCTGACACACAAGAGTCTCTGCAGAGACCCCAGCTCCCAGCCCTTTTCCTTTAGGAGGTTCATAAATATGCATGGCGGTTAATCACAGGAAATTCAAGAGGAAAGCTATTAAATAGAAAAAATCCACAACCGCAAAACATGCAGGATCAAAACCAGCTTTGTCTTAATGCTGGAATACATTGCTTTGGGTTTATTTGAGTATAACTCCCCGCACACGCACACACACACAACCAGAAACCTCACGGGCATGGCATTCATGGCTGTGTATGAACTCCCTCATAGGAGAATAGTGCTGTTTCACAGCCCATGCCTCACGTGAAGTCCAAGGGCCCTAATGCTCTGAGAGGGTATAGCAGAGAGGTGGTAAAACTGGTTTTGGAGCTCGATGTGTTGATTCTTAGCTGCTGGGGAAGCCACAGAAAAGAGTGAAAAAGACTTGAGAAGTCTCACAAAGAAAGCCAGAAGGAACAAGATTGGTGCCATTATAAAACAGCCTCAGTACTTGCAGGAGGTCAGTTTAAAAGCAGAAGTTTTTAATGAGAAGGAAGACATATCAAGCAGGAAAAATAGCCTAACAGCTCATTTGATCAAGCCCTGTCTGATAATTAAGTTAGATAAAACCATGGAGAAAACACTGAACAAAGTAGCACTGCCTTTGAAAAAACAGAGAAGTGGCTGTAGGACAGATGCATCCCTGAATTTACCATATGGTGCACAGAAAAGGCAAAAGTTGGAGAGCTCCCTGGCAGGCTACCGCGCGTACAAGTAACTGAGCACTGTTTGCCATCTCGCCTCTCCCCCAGGTTCCTGTTTCTCTCTGCAGTCCTTGCCTGGAGCAGTTCCCCGCACCTGCAAGAGCAGGAGTGTGGCTGGGGCAAGAGAATCTGCTACACAAACATGCGAAACACCCCAAGAAATACAGACAGGACACTTAGCCTTTCATCAGCTCACCTGAGGCATTTAAGTTTTCCTCCTGGTGATGGAGATTCTCCGGTAACTCCCCTTAGCAGAGCAAGTCAAGCTTAGCATTTTTTTGTTGGCTTCTACCCAGCGACCACCCCCCCCAGCAGTTATTAAAATCTTACTGCCAAACTGGCTGTGGGTGCAATACAAAGGCAGCCACTGATGCAACCCTATTTTGCTAGTCAGACAGTGTTAAGAAGGGGACCAAGGGAAGACAGCACCTACCTTGTCCCAGCAAGCAGCAGCTAACTGGCCAGCAGAAAAAAATATGTTGACCATCTGCAGCTCAGCTTGGAAGAAGAAGAAATTGCACTTACCTGAGTGGCTCAGACACAGCACAAAGAGCACTAGGCAAAGCATGGGCATCACCATGGCTTTTCCTTTAAATCTGATCTTTTTTTTTCATAAGCAAATCAGTCTCATCCTAATAGGGGACTAAAACAATCTAGTTAAAAATCAAGGCAGACAATTGAGTCTGCAAGGCAAGACAGCACCTTTCAGCCTTATCTTGCCTCATTATGACGCTCGGTAAAACACACTTCATTGATTTTCAGTCAGCTGTCATAGCCCGTAAGCCTAAAACAGGGCTCTGGGTCCTAAACTCTGACTGATTTGTTTGTGGCGGTATTTGGGTGGCTGTAGCCACTGTAGTCTAGGAGTAGAAGTGAGGCAAGGTTTTTAAGGAGGAGAAATGTCTTTTATTATGCTGCTGGTTACAGCTGGGGAAAAAAACAGGCTGCAGATCAGACCCAAAGATAGATCACATGCCTGAAAGATTGTCTGTTTGCTCCAGGTGTACCAGTTGGTCTAATAAAAGAGGCAGCCTCCCTACAGACCTAAATTAGCTTATTCATCTTTCATACTACACCTGATGTTTTACAGCTATGAAATGGATTTTGGATTTTTTTTTTATTTTGAGGAAAAAATCCAGCAAGATATAGGTGGGAAAACAGGGATGATTTCTAAATTTATATCTCATCACTCATACACAAAACATCTCAGACAACAGCACAGAAATGCTTGCACAATACTATCTATTGGCACAGCTTAATAGCATATGTTGCCCTAGGGCCTTGTGTTTAGCAATGAGAGTGGTGGGGCCTTTGATTATTTAGCCAGTTCCTCTGTAGGTGTCACTGATCCCCAGCAACACCTTGGACAGGGCTCCTTTCAGAAGCCACCAGAAATTGCTGATATCAAAAGGGACACGGGTTCCTCTTTTCCTGTCCCCTGGCCACTAGTCTGCCAAGGGATCTCAGAATCTTCTCAGTTTTCTTCCCAAATGAAAGTCACTTTGCCATCTCTCTACAGAAGAGCTTTTTCCCTGAAGTTCTGAAGTTCAAGGAAGAGTGGTGCAAAATTCTTTTAGTTTGTACCCAGACCTCAAACTCTTCCTTCTTTGATTTATTCTTTCTGGCTATTTAATTGCCTGCTGACTTTTGTATGGGAAGCCTGTTTTTTTCAGCAACAGCTGGGCCCATTTCTTGCAGTGGCCCAGATTTTGGTACAGTCATAAGCTATGTGATTCAGATTTGCCTTATCTAAGGTCCTCACAGAGGATTGATAACTGGCAGCTGTAACCTTATCAGATTATTCAGCTTCCTGTAATGAAAAATATGTCATTTCAGTGTGGTTCAGAGTCACGTTGCTGCTACAAGTAACCTTCTTGTAGTGTCCTACCACCTTATTTGTGCTGCTGTGGACTTGCAGGCTGCCTCATCCGTAGCTCTCAGGCAGGCCACTGGCAGCAGCTCAGGGGATTTGCCTTTTCCACTCCTGTACTACACATGGGAAATCTGCAAGTGCCCTTGCTAGCTCCTCGGCTCTGCCGGTGTTCACCTGGCAGGGCTGGAGGAGCAGCTGGTTTCCTCTGCACTTTTCCTCATCGCAGCTGCAGAAAGCAACTCAAAACCAACGGTGCTATCAAGAGACTGTCTTGAATGAAGTGTCTTGTTATCACCAGCTGCTGTCACTACCAGACTGCTCAGTTTACCCATTAGATCCAGGCCAGGCATAAGCACATGACTTGTCAAGGTTCACAATAAGGGTCCCTTTTTTATGCTGGCATCAAGAGTACAATGGACATTTGACTGGAGTGGTGCAGACAGATAGCACCACAACCTGCCATAAAACTGAGTGTGGACTAAAAACAATTATTCTGCCTGATGCAATTTTTTCTGCAACAAAGCTACTCCTTAAAAATGTTCTGTACAGACTACCCTGTGCTTTCCAGCATGTTTCTGGTCCTGTACAGAGCTCAGCACCCTCAGGCATCATCCATCATCTTTGCTGAACCACAGCTTCATGACTGGAAGCCCCAGCCTTTGCCCATTGACAGGTCTGATCATAATTACTGCCTGAGATTACATCCAGGCATTTAACAGCTTTGTTAAACAGTGCTGTATCACAGACTGGAGAGACACTTGTTTTCATAAGGCTTTAGCCTGCTACCTTGAGGTAATGAAGTTAATCTATTAGCTGGCTATAGGAGTAGGATTTTTGCTACTATGTGGTAGTTGCTTGGAGGGAAATAGGATGTATGCTTGCTTTACCATTGCCTCCACACACTGCCTAGACTGTGACAAGAGGTAAGGACCTAGCTTGCCTGGTCTTTGGCTCTCAGTTATCTGGCAACCAGAGGAGGGTATTGGAGAAATAAATTCTGTCTGCTCGCTGATGACGCTTTCTGTTTACAAGTCTTTATTCAGCCATGCTCTCCAACATCTTGGGAAGGGAAGTATGCATGAATACTCCATTTTACCAGCCAGACCATGAAGCATGGGGAGCATCCACCTTGAGATAGCAAACAAATTCCTGGGTAAAACTGGAGTCTTCTCTGTTGAGAAACTGCCTTTGCTTTTCTACAGGTTTCATGGAATTTGTAACTGACATGAGACTGCACTTCCAGGCTGTAAAGAGCTAAGACCTGCCTGAGCACAAGCAATACTTGGACTGGGCCTCACTCTCTGGGCAGCTCAAGCTCCTGGGGAAAAAAAAGAGAAATCCACCTAGAGGCTGTGACAGATGCGCTTGACCCCTTAACCAAACTTGCAGTAGTTTGGTACAGGCTCCAAAGGAGGTAAAGGCCTGAGCCATAGCTGGGCCAAGAATACCTCTAGGAAACCTACAAAGGAACAGAGTGACCCAGTGAGCATAGATGCCTTTGAGCTTGGAACACCGATCACATGATTAACACATGAATAGCAGGTGGTTTTTCCAAGACTCAGTTATCAAGGAACAAAGAAAGTCGTGTGTACAAGGACAATGGATGCAATTTGATTACAAGCCAACCAATTCATCCCATAAATATGACAGTCTAAGTGAGCTTTCTTTAAGCTCTCCCTGCTAGGCAGCATGGCTGCATGGCAGTGATCTCCCCTTGAGCGGGGACGTCTTTCAAGGTTTGAGATTCCTTACCCAAGGTAGAGAGACGCCTTTCTCGCAACAGATTCTTAGTAAGTGACTAATAGCATGCTGAATTAATACTGACGAAACATTGCTAATCCATGTAGTGACTCAATATTAATTATTACAAACTTTGCATATATAATCCTTTAGACATAAACTGTTGACCAAGTCTGGGACGAGGAGTGGATCCAGCCACCCCTAGGCTCCTGTCTGAGAGGGAGTTTAGAAAGCAAGCGGGTCCGCTCTGAACCTCATGACTCAATGGGAGGCTTTTCCTTACCCTTTTGCATCTCTAGTCTCTGTGTAAATCATTCTAGCTCAATTCTAACTCAATTTTCCTTTTTATGTTTCTCCCATGTAGAGATATAGTAGAGTGAACCTTGCTATCAAACTTTGTTAAGTCATACTTTTACAATGTCATATTAAAACCACTTTTGCTAATACCTTTGATGGTGATTCTTTAAGCTATCTAAATCACTCCTCCACCACAGAGGCACAAATCCATCAGTTTGAGCCCGCATGGTTAATATTAGGAGCAACTGAAAACTTGAGGTTGTGATGGAGAGCGCCAAGCCATGTTACCCGAAGGTGTCATGTAGACAAGAGTGGCAGTGCTGGCTGGCAACCAGAGGGTGGGGAACCTGGAATGAGGGAATAAGGAGGGTGAGGAGGAAAGATGTGGATGAGAGATGCTGTGAGCCAGAACCAAGAAGCCCCATTTCCAGAACCAAGAGCTGGAGAGGGGTTTGCAACACCTCTAGGGTTGTTAGCTGCAGGGAAGAGAAAAGAGGGGCTGCAAAGAAGAGGCTGTTACAGCAGCTATGGGGTAGGAGGCTCCTTCCAGGTGGATGTGCCTTCTTCCTCCCCAACCCAACTCAGCCTCCCTGGTCCCTGGGGCTGGTATGCCAGGAGCCAAGGGAGTCACGCCTGTGGTGCCAGTATTTGGGATGGTGCCAGGCTCCCCAGAGCTTCCAAGGGAGGACTGAGTTGCCTTTGTGCCACCTCGTGCCACACAGGGAGACAGCAGGCAAACACCAGCCCCGAAGGGGTGAGGGACAGTTTCTGGTGCAAAAGTGGGGTGGGAAAGGGCAGCATTCCTGGACCTTCATTGAAAACCTGGTCAGCAGACACCTCTCCCCGTCAGCAGCTTCCTAAAACATGCATCTTCTCCGGGTGAGGGATGTTTTTAGCCCAGCTCACCAGCAGCTTTTGCAGCACCAGGCACTTCACGTGCCAGAGGGCACAGAGTTTGCAGCCAGCCATCCAGCTGCCTGTACACTCTGAAGACTCTCTGCTCTCCTCCAGCTCCCCGTCCCCCACAGGCACCTTCCTGCTGTCACTCTTGGCTTGCTTACAGGCTGCACCAAGCACAAACCTATTCCCTTTCTCCCTCACTGCTGTTTGCTCTCCATCCTTTCCCCCCGCACCCCTCCTCCGCACGCCTTTCCCACGGGGAGCTGCACAGCATCCCACCGTCCTTCATTTCTTCTCGCCGTCCCCCAGCACAGCCGCCACTTTCCTCCTCCTCCTGTTTTTTTTTTTTTCCTTCTCACATGCCTAGAGAAGGTCCTTTCGCTTTCTCCTTGCCTTTTTCCTTTTCAGGCTCTGTTGTGGACGCTTCCCTCCCTCCTCTCCCGTGCTGTTTTAGCACCCCTCCCTGGCAGGACCCGGGCAGTGCAGGCAGCACTTTGGCTGGAGTGCCCAGGGCCGTGCTGTGTTAAGGTCTGTGGATATAATCGGTCCGTCGGACTTGTTTGGGCTACAATGCAGATTACACGCTGAATGAGCTTTATTTGGGACCCCAGCGCAACATGTGTAGATTTGAAAACTCATGCTTTGAATGATGCATTCGTAGCTGGAACTCTGCATAATGTTAATTGGGGCTGGATAACAAGGCCTAAAAATAGGTAAGAATTTTGCACTTGTGCATGGACCTGTTTGTGGCAGCAATTACTTG